AATCTAATTTTTAGAAGATCCCATTCATTGGTATTTTCTTTTCCTCTCCTGGTTGTGTACTTATCCTACATTTTATAATTTATAAACTTTGTAGCAACTTGTATTCCACAATTGGTAATTAAGTAAAACATATTTTGAAAAAGAGTTTAAAGGTTTCATTTGGAATGTACAGCCAAGCACAATCAATAAGAGTGCATCTGAATTAAAAAAAAAAAAAAGTTTCATTTGGAAATGAGCAAAACAATTATACCTCACACCATTTGATCTTGGCTACTTTTTGAAGGAACTCTACTAAATGCAATCCCTAACTTTTTCTCTCTACAGTAAATTATTTTAGTCAACACATGATATTTTATTTGACTGAAGCAATGAAACGAGATTGTTCTGACAGTGGAGAAATCTGATTTGGCAAAACTAACAATAAAAACCTGCTCTATTAAGTTATATGACTTTTTTTTATATTTGACAAGTATTTTCAACTTGAAGGAGGATAGAAAGAGAATGGGATGCCTTTGAGCTGTGGTGCTGAAGAGTATTGAACGTACCATGGACTGCCAAGAAAACAAACAGATTCATCCTAGAGAGGGTTAGACCAGGCTGCTCCTTGGAGGCAAGGACTCTGAGGCTTCGTCTGACATACTGTGGACATGTTGTTAAGGAGGGAGAGGTCCTTGGAGGACATCATGCTTGGGAGGGTGGAGGGACGGCGCAGATGGGGAAGGCCCTCAATGAGGTGGATTGATTTAGTGACTGGGGTAATCGGGATGGGTGTGTAAGAGGCAGTGCGACTGGCACAGAACAGAGCAGGGTTTAGGGCTGTTGTACATAGGGAGGGGAGGGAGGGGGTAAAATGTGCAACAGTAAATGAATGAACGTCTAACTTTTCTATAAACATTTGTTAAAATCACAATTTAAATAAAAACATTTATTTAAAATACAAACCCACCTAAAACCAGAAGGTAAAATAGATGAATGGGACCTTCTAAGAATCAAGTCCCTATGCACATCCAAAAACTTCTCCAACAAGGTAAAAAGGGTAGCCACAGACTGGGAAAAGAGCAATGTGGCATCAGGATTGGTGGAAGAATCATCAACAACCTGCGTTATGCAGATGACACAACCCTGCTTGCTGAAAGTGAGGAGGACCTGAGGTGCTTGCTGCAGAAGATCAAGGACTACAGCCTCCTATACGAACTGCAGCTAAATGTCAAGAAAACGATTCTAACCACAGGGCCAACTGGCAGCATCAGCATGGATGGTGAAGAGATTGAGATAGTTAACAGTTTTAATTTACTTGGATCCACAGTCAACACTCTTGGTAACAGCAGCCAGGAAATCAGGAGACGAATTGCATTGGGGAAGTCGGCTGTGAGGGACCTCTCAAGAGTACTGAAGAGCAATGATGTCAGGTTGGAGACTAAGGTGCTTCTGATCCAGGCTATAGTCTTTGCAATTATGTGCTATGCATCAGAGAGTTGGACACTGAATAGGGTTGACAGAAAGAGGATTGATGCCTTTGAGCTGTGGTGCTGGCGAAGAGTGTTGAATATACCATGGACTGCTAGGAGAACAAACAGGTTTGTCCTGGAGAGGGTGAAGCCAGAGTGCTCCCTGGAGTCAAGGATTCTGAAGCTTCGTCTGACGTATTTTGGGCATGTTGCAAGGAGGGACTGGTCCTTGGAGAAGGACATCATGCTTGGCAGAGTGGAGGGGAGGCGAAGGAGAGGAAGACCTTTGGTGAGATGGATCGATTCTGTGACTGGAGCAGTGGGAATAAGTGTGTTTGAGATGGCTAGGGTGGCACAGAATAGAAGACCATTTAGAGCTCTTGTACACAGGGTCGCTGAGTCACAAGCAACTCAATGGCACATAACAACAACACCACCACAATGACATATCAAATAAGGGACTTATATCTAGAATTTATAAAACACTTGAGCACCACAACAAGATAAAGGTAAATAATCCAATTGAAAAATGGGCACAGGATATGAATAGACACTTCACCAAAGAAGACATTCAGATGGCCAACAAGCACATGAAGAAATGTTCAAAATCCCTAGCTCTGAGAGAGATGGAAATCAAAACAACTATGAGATATCATCTCACTCCAGTCAGAATAGCAAAATTTAACAGAACAGCAAGCAGCAAATGCTGGCGAGGTTGTGGAGAAACTGGAACCCTTATTCACTGTTGGTGGGAATGTAAAATGGTGCAACCACTGTGACAGGTGGTATGGCGCTTTCTCAAAAAGTTGCAAATAGAGATACCATTTGACTCCGCAATTTCACTACTAGGAATATATCTCAAAGAGACCATAACTGACATCCAAGCAGATATATGCACACCCATGTTTATTGCAGCTCTGTTCACAATAGCAAGGAGCTGGAAACAACCCAGGTGCCCATCAACAAACGAATGGATAGAGAAGCTGTGGTATATTCACACAATGGAATACTATGTTGCATTGAAAAACAAGGAACTCATTCATTATTATTCAAAATGGGTTACCCTGGAGGACATTACGCTGAGTGAAATATCTCAGTCACAAAAGGACAAATATTGCATGGTGCCACTGCTGTAAAATGGGACTGATATCAGGGTGGGGGTAAGACTGCGAAAAACTGGATAAATTGTGTATACTGCACTGAAACAGATGAGGGACTGAATAATTTTAAAGCGATGTATGATAGGGTATTATGGTTATCACAAGAGTCCACAATTAAGGTTGCATAGTGGAATGTACTTGGGGCAGTGGGAGGGGTGTGGGGGGATTGTGTACCAGGGAGGGAGTCTTTTACTTTTGAAAGAGAGGAGTGAACTGGGGGGCGGGAGGAGAGGGCTGGGTGGGTAGAGAAGTGCAGCAATGAATGAATGGAAATCCAAATTCTCTGTAAATGTTCATTAAAATGATTTTAAAAAAGAAATAAAAATAGTGCAAGATCTCAAAAAAAAAATCCTTTGCAAGGCAGGTAGTTCTCAAATCTCTGCTTTCAAAAAATATTGAAGGGAGGTTTCACTGACCAGTCAGCTCACAAATCAGAGCGTAAATGATAACACTGTTCAATTGTAATTAACGTTCTAAAACAAAATGTGTATCATGATTGTATAAAAACCAACTTAAAAAAATAACTGAGGCAATTAAAGTCATGGAACAAAAATATGCCTAAATTGTTGAGTAGAAAACTAACCCAGCCTACAAAGTTTTACACAAACCACAATTTACAAAGAAAGAACTGTCACTATTTCTCTGTTGACATTCTGATAGGGCATTCTGGTGGCCTAGTGATAAGGAGTTGTACTGCCAATCTAAAGGCAGGCAGTTCAAATCCCCTAGCTGCACCACGGGACAAAGGTGGCCAATCTCCTGCCATGCAATTTGTTGTTGTTGTTGCTGTGTACCAGTGAGTCAGAACTGATTCAAGCTCTAAACCACAGAGATGACTGTTTATCTTTCTCTTCTGGAGTAACTGGTGGATTTGAACCGTGTACCTTTTTTTTGTCAGCATAACTTCTTACACTAAACTGTCAGAGCTCCCATGTGATTTATAGTCCCTGAAAATCCACTGAAAGGTCAGATATGAGTGGGTCCCAACTCCACTGTTGTTATTGCTGTCAAGTCTCCTGCAGTTTAAGTGACCCTATCTATGTTCAACAGCTCTGAAGCCTGATCTGCCCTGAGCCAGTCTCACTGACTCCAACCCACCTACACACTCCAAGGCAAACAGCATTAACATGACTCTGGTGGCTTAATAGTAAAAATGGAAATCCAAAGTCTCTGTAAACATTCATTAAAGTTAATTTTTTAAAAAGCTATTTATAAAAAAAGAAATAGTAAGGTGTTGTACTGCCAACCCAAAAACATTTGATTCATATCCACCAGCTGCTCACTTAGTAGGAGTCAGATGGGCAATCTCCTCCCAAGTGACTCTGTCTCTGTAAACCAGCCGGAATGCAGCATACTTTCTACTCAAAAGTACAAAACAACAACAATCGCCACGAACCTCCTTCCAACCCCTTGCACTTGTGTATACGAACATGGTTTCAAACAGATGTAGCCATCTCAATCTTAAAAGGCCACAGGGAGCTCTGTTGGCCTAGTGGCAAGAAGCTGCAATCCCAGAGATGTGCAGTTCAAATCCACCAGATGCTCTGCTGGAGAAGGAGGGGCAATCTCCACACACACACACACACACACACACACACACACACACACACAAATTTTAAAAATTAAGAAGAAAGCCCAGAGAATGTAAGAATTATGCACACAAATGCATTTACCCCTTTAAGTGGCATATTGAGACAGAAAACCTAAAGCAGCTGATTTACTTGCTTCTAATTCTTGGTGTTGCAAAGGAGATCTGTGCTAAGATTCACGAGCCTGTGACTTTGTGCGGGAGATCGTCAGTCCTTTGCTGCCCAGGCTCGTTCAAGTTGCCAGGCTCTTGGTCAGCAGTCGCTTGTGCCCTCTCCGATTCCAGCTCAGTGACCTTCCATCAGCTTTCCCGAATTAATCTTTGAGATTACTAATCTGTGATCTTCCTCCCCCGGGAAAAGTGAGTGGATTCAAGCTGCCGAGTTTTCAGTGTCCACAGTCCGTGCGATCTAAGAAGTATGACCCTTAACTTTCTAAGTCCTCACCAGCAAGACTCCTAAAAGTAGGGCCAGTGGACCAGTGGGCTTGTCTTCACTAGCAGAGAAAACGACTGGTGCCACCGCGCTGAAAAGGGCACACTTGGGGAGAATAAGAGAAACTGAGATGCCGGAGCTGGTGGGAAGAGAAAAAGAGGCAGTTACTGGGCTGAGATCAAGGGGGACTCGGCGGGTTTCGAACTCGCGGTCCGTAGAGTTAAGTTGGCTCTCGGCTGTTCCGTGACTCGGGGCAAGCGTGGCAGCCGGACGCCATCGTGCAAGAAAGACGCTGGCACCTCGCTATCCTCTTTGGACTTGCCCGACACCGGAATCTGGTCGGAGACTCAGTTTCCCCGGACCCCGGGCAGGCCGGGCCTCGAACCCGCCGTCCGCCGGAAGCGCCCCTCCCACCACCATCACCACACTTCCGGTCCAGCCCGGAAGCTGCGCGCGGCGGCGGAAACTGTCCCCGCACGGCCGCCGTCGCCCAGCCTGCGCGCTATTGTGCCCGACCCCCCGCGCTTCCCCCGGTTCCCTTTCACTTCCGGGGCCGCGGGTTCCGTCACAACATCCCGTTGGCTTTCCTCAGGCGGCGGGACCGCTGCAGCCGCCGCCTCCCCCGACCGCCCGC